TGCATACATTAAGGAAATATTTCTCATACGGCAAATGTTGAATACCCTTAGCAAGAATCGTCTACGAATTGATTTTTCAGTTCGAAATTGATTCAATGTCCTGAAGAATAAATTATGTGTAAAATCTTGATATACGATTTTTCAGAGAGTCCAAGATAAATTCATCTAAAAATTTACTTAGAAATAGAAAATATTTTAATTTAATTTTTATAATCATTATTTGGTTATAGAAAACGATTTTACTTGTACTTCGCTTCTGCAGATTTCCAGAGCGATTCTTAAAATGATTCTTGCAGGGGTTCCCTATTTATGGTGACCTCTGAAACATATTGTACCCCCAATAGAGAGATATTTTCAATGGAAACTTTTCAATATTGTGGTGCAGCAGCGTTTACTTAGCTTCCCGCAGTGTGGCAGCCGCTATGCGAAAGTAATTTTGCCCGACACAAGGTCAGAGAAAGAAATCGCGAAAGTTTTTCCAGCACACACCACATGAAAAAGTGAAATTTAAGCCACACACGCCGAGCGGCAAGCGGCATGCGGCATGCGGCGAGCGGGAAGAAGGCGACAGGCGACAGTTTGCGCCAAGGCCAGAAGACGCGTGGGGCATGCCGCACACACTTCAACTCACACACTCACACACACTCGGTTTGCTGTTAAGTCAGCTGCCGCCATTTTGTAGCCATTATTTCATGCCAAACAAAAGCCGCTTACGCCCCCTGGCCCTTCAGTTTCTTCTTGGGTTTTTTTCGGATTGGATCTGGCTGTTGCCTTTGGCTTGAGGATGATGAATTTTCCTCACGCTCCCAGAACTGTCTGCAAAGTTATTTTATTTTGTGTCAAACAATGGAGAGACACTCGGAGCGCACAGGGATTGGATTGGGAGAACTCGTCGCTTGATTAGAACTTGTGGAGTACAGGCCACACGGCAATTAGGCAAATTGCCGAGCTGCATTTTAAACTCCCACATGCTTATCGACTTTGGCTCTGATTAGACCCCCTCGTCCCTCCAAAAGGTGGGAACACGATGGAAAGGCTCTCAGGTGTAATTACATTAACAATTCCGAAAACATTTTCCCAGTTTGTGTTTGGGTGGAGCCCTCAAAACACATCCCCTAACCCATATCACACCGCACCACACCACACCACACCACACCGGAGTCCTGCAATGTCACTCACTGCTGGGCATTCAATGTGGCACGAAACGTATCCATTATTCAGAACGTGGTGCAAACAACTCGACCGACAAGCCGGCAACGTTGGCCTGCGTGTAAGACGCAGTGGCTACATGTACATGCCCTCCGACTCTTGCCCACATTCCATGGCCTACGCACAGCATATTCGGCATCTGAACTTGCTACTCTGCTAACCTTGTGCATCTGCCATGCAATTGGCCCCGGGATACCCCGAGCAATAACAACAAGCACCACAAGAGCCAAACTGCAATGTACTGCAAGGATGTGCAAACACGACGCTGCCCAGCCGTTGGTGCGATGGAATCGGTGCTGTGGTGGTGCTCCACAGTGAGGTCCACTGACCTGCTCGTAATTAAAGCCCGCCAGCTGGCGGTTATAAGGTAACTCTCGGTAACAGAAGTGCCACGAAGGAGTACAATGGCCCCACATGGTAGCGATAACCAAAAGCACATAGAGTCCTCTTATATGGATGTCGGTTTACATCCGCTTAACTATCAAAATGTTATCAACAATTATGAATTAATTTCATGTTGGTGGATTTACGCAGAAGAGCAGAATGCATCAATAAAATATTAAAGCAGTTAAGCAGAAAATTTGTATCGCATCGGAGCAAAAACATTCGATTGATCGCTACACATTGTGATTAAGTTAGGCAAAAGTACGCTTACTATTCAAATGGTAATTGTCTCGTATCTACAAATTAACAAAGATGTAAAATGAGTCCTTGAGGATGGTTAAAAGCTGTAAATTCCGTTAGACTTGCAGGTCATGTTAAAGCCAAATCAAATGGATTGTAAGGACGATTCATGAAGCCCTATGCTATCGCCAACTCACGCACCCATCAATAAAATAACATTAAAGGTGCAATCCCATTAAGTGGGCTAATCAGGAATGAAGCTAATCAATGGAACACCATTTTCTCTCACACTCGAGTGTCCAAGTATCTTCGATAATTCGAGCCTTTGTTATCGTCAATTTCACATCACAAAAGAACGGCAATCAACCATCAATTGCGAGCCATGAAATGCAATTGCATCTGCAGATAGAGTCGCCTTTGACAAATAACGGGCAAAAAAAAAATACAAAAGGGTTCGCTCAGGGAGAAGTTATCGTTGGCTGCGCATCGCTAACAAAGTACAGTCCCAGCAGCGTTACCAATGACAGCCATGTTTCTTGCATCAGGAGTCACACTGAGTGGACTCTCGGATGCACGCTTCCCTTCCGTTTCAGCCGCAATTCTGGCCACACTTCCTTGTTATATTTCTTTTGGCCAGATGCTCGGTCTCATTGGCTTTTGGTGCTTCCTCTTTCGCTCTCTCTCTCTGTTTCTCTCTGTGTGTGTGTGCTTTGTGGGTGCGGGGGTTTATGTTTGGTAGCCGCCTGCGGCTGGCAAAACGACAAAATGTATGCGATGTTCCGGCTGAATTGCAGATTTTCATCCTCATCCTGCCACACACCCACACACTCACTCACTCACTAACTCGTGTCGCTTATTCCCTTCGCCTTCATGTGCAAGTCGGTTCCCCTGGCCCGACATGCTCGTAGCTTTCACTTAGTTTGCTCTTGGGGCAGCACGAGGAGCAGGACGAGGGACAATGTTTTGCCATTTGGCCGCATATTGCTAATGGAATGGCATACACACTCACACACACACATACATTCGAAAGAGCACACACATCTACCTTGCATTAGCCGGGGGATTATCCGGTTCCAGTTCCCCGGCATACTTTCGGGATCATATCTAAATTGAAAAAGTTATCGGAGCCGTGTGTCAAATGTGTCGCTCTTTATTTGCATTTTATTTTCATGGCAAACGTGTGCCTGGCGCGGCGTGTAATCGATTCAAATCGATTCCGCTTACAACACGCCCCCGCGACATGACGCTGACAGCCGGCTGTCCGGTTGGCAATAAACAAAAATAATGTTGCCTGCTTCCAGGCGCGCTACATAAATTATAACATTAAAGACACCGAAGGGCATACAAATCTTATATTTATTCGCTGAAATCGCTGCGTCGGACTTTCCCTTCCACCAGTCCAGGGTCGGGGCCTCGGCACATTTGCTGATAATTCTCGCCCATAAATTAACCAAACAAAAGTTTTCCCCTGTTTTCACAGTTCCACAGAGAGTTTCCGTCGAAGGTTGAAAATGTTATGGGGGCACGAAATTAAAATCTGCTGATGCTTAGACAGTCGGTTTAACTGGCAGTCCACCAAAGCCAACCCAACCGGAATCCATGCCGAATCCATTCTCCACCGGAATGTGCGGAGCCATTAGTGACTGCAATACAATTTGCTCATTTGACGCCTAAACTTTGCCCCCCTCCTCCCTAACCTCCCCCGAAGCATATCAATAGGTCACCGGACGAACCTCATTACGTATTGATGCCCTCTCATGTGAAATAATTGCCGTAGCAGTCCATTAGCATTTAATAATTTAGGGATGGATGTGTGTGTCTGGTGTGTCTGGTGTGTCGGTGCCTGCCTGTTGTGCCTGTTGGCCAAAGTCAAAACTGTGTTGGCGTTGAGGCTGGGGCTATTAACTTGAGGGAATCGGACACAATGTGTAGACACGATTAGCTTCTTGATTTCTGGTTGGATGGACTAACAAGCTTCCACCAGGCCGTGTGCAAGTTGATAATCAGTGCCATGATAATTCGCATAAGCTGCACATAAAGAGTTGAATGATAATTGTGAATGGTATGGGCGAGAGCGAATTATTCTAGGTATCCAAACACATAAAAGGGCTTAAGGGAAAAGCAATCCAATGATTGGGGTCTTTTATTGCGGGGAATGGGGCTTACAGAGGATTGTATCACAGGTATTAATATGCATATTGAAACAAGCTACTTGTCCTCTCTCATAATACCGAGGTTCGTTTGACTAGTTGTATCTTTTGAAACATCTCCAATTCAGTGTAAGCATCGGAAGGCACGACGATCCTTACCTTGATCCCATCCATATTAAAACAAAACGAATTGCATTTCAATGACACTCTTTAACATCGTTTTAAAATGTATCTTTATTTTTATCTGAATGAACTATACCTTACAATATTTTTTGCATTAATTTTATTATCATAAATCTTCAATAAATTTTTCACATATACCAATAATTGTTAGCTAATATATTTTTTTTTTTCGCTAAAGCATCGAGGCTTAAAATAAAATACATTTCACAGGAACCAAAATTTGCCGATACACATATGTATATATAATTTCTCTTTTTTTCCCTTTTTGTTTTGTGTATAATTTGTAAATAAATTAAAATATTTGAAAGCTTGTCTACACACTAAATAAATGAGAATAGAATATTAAAGGTACTACAAATAAGGTGATTTAATGTAGGTTTAATGCTTTTAAACTGATCACAGCAAATTGTTTTGAATACCCAAGAACGAATAAGAAAACGGAGAAAAAACAAATGATTATAATCGGATAATCGGTAATAGGGTCTTAAATTTCCCAAAGATTGGTTTTTCCTTTTGTAAATTTTCTCTAAATTTTGTTGTTTAGTTTTTTCAATGTATTTACAGACATGTCTTGTTCAAATATTTAGCTAAATTTAATTCAAAATTTGGTGCTAAAAATGTTACTTCAATCGCTTTGTTCCAGATAGGATCCATAAAGTTTTCTTTTTATTGATTTATGTTTTGTTCCAAAAACAACAAAATATACTATAACTAGTCACAATAATTGTTAGGTCTATAAACAGTTTTTCTTTTATCTTTTTAGGTTCTTTTTTTAACTTTTTTTTTCGAATTTCACAAAATGTTTCTTTCTTGATCAAACTTCAACAAAATGTCTTAACTTTTTACAATTGATTTCATGGACTTGAAGGGAAAGTTGGAGGAGTTTCTGGCTCCGAATGGCTTCCTGGCACTCGTCTCTCCTTCTGCGAGTTCTTGTGGGCTTTTGTATGTGTGCGTGCTCTTTTTTGAGAGAGTATGTGTTGGTATGTAAGAGTACATATGTGTGTGTGGGGGTGCGTGTGTCTGTGTGTGTGTCGACGCCGTTAGTTGATGTCAAAACGTAGCGCCTAGAAAAAGTTTTTGTGTTTTTGTATTAGTTTATGTGTGTGTGAATATATGCGTGTTTGTGGGTGTGTCTGTGTTAGTATTTGTTAAATTTAAATTAAATTTTAAACTAGGCAACAAATTGAATTTGTTGAGTATTTTCATTTTCCCCGTTTACTGCTGCTGTCGTCCCTCTGTCTTTCCTATTTGGTTTTTGGCATTCTTGTTTTCTTATTTCTACACAGATGAAAGTTTCCTCCGTTTCATGTTCTACGAGTACCATTTTCTTATTCAACTTTTACTTCCCGTTCAGTTGCATTGAGTTGAGTGGGACCTTGGTCTAAGGGAATTACTAATAGGAGATATTCTTGCGGTCTCTTTGCCGGTCTACGCGGCCAGTGTATAATTTTTTTGTTATATCCATTTATTGGATATTTTGACGGGATGTCCTAAACACACTCGGTGCCCCGCTCGCGCAACGGATTAGCAGACTGCACGTTGGAAAGGAGAGAGAGAATATAATTTGGTTAGTGGAAGTGTAGAAAGGTGTTTTGGTGTTGAAAAAAGTAAAAGGTTGCTACAGATAATTCTAGTAAGAGGTCTACAAATAAATATCAAATAATAATTGCTACAATAACAACAAAAAGGTGATGTATAACTAAAAAATAAATTCTAAAATACTATCAATCTTTGTAAAATTATAATGATTACTACAAACGTAAAACGGTATAAAAAAAATGAACAAATTTAAATTTAACTAAACATAAAAAATTATGAAATAATATATAATTATGAAATAAAATTTAAAAAAAGTTTTTGAGTAAAATATTATCATACTTCAGTATCATTACTTTGGTCTGTAGAGTATTCATGGATCAGATGGACAAGTGTTTCCATGTACAAAACTTAACTTTGGTAAAACTTGTCATAGTCAGTCGTAAAAAGAGATTTGTAAAATAAATAAGTATAAATGAATATAAAAACATACAAATGTTGATCAAATAAATTCACAAAAAATATAAGCCCTGCTTTAAAAACAAAGTTATTTGGTAGTCGGTACTTATGCAGTACCCCAGAAAATCCCTCATTTAACTCCACAACAAAATGTGATTTAATACCCAGCGCGAAAGAGATTTGCCGAGCACTCTGTTAAATGATGATATTTAATTAAAAAATCCAAATGAAAACCGCTAACCGCTAAGCTCGTGGCCCAAAACAATTTTGGCCAACCCGTACGTATGCAAATTATGTTGTTATTTTTGGGTTGCTGCAACAACCAAACCGAAAATCTCTCTTAATGCCATTTTGTTCAATTTGGCGTAATTATTATAATGCATTGTTGTGCGCTACCCTGCGGAATTTTCTCCTTTTTTGTTGCATTAATTAATTAACAGCTTTCATTAAAATTGCCAGCCAAGCAGCGGCCGCAGCTTCAGCGAAATATGGCGACACAAAAAAATGTAATTTAATTGAAATATTTTAGTAAAACTGCCACCATATCTGGTATATCGTATCTGCGGGGTCCTTGTCCCTGTCCCTGGCGGCGTGTTAGTCGTGCAGCTGTCGGGCTGCGGGACATTTTGACGCTCCACTAACGCCATTTAATTGGCCTTTTTAGTTAATTGCTCAATTGATATGCACATTTTGATTGCATTTGTCGCTCTGCAATTAGCTGGAGCGCCGGGAGGCTTCCCCCAGTCTGCCCTCAAAGAGCACCGGATCTCAAATGGATTGTAAATTATATGGACCAATGGAACAATAAAATAAAAATAATTTTTAAATTGTGCACACTCTAGACAACAAATTATGTGATAAAAATACACCGATAATTTTCTAATTTGTATTTGGTGACCACAACTTACCGTTTTTATTATTAGCTAAATCCTGTCTGCGGTTATCGCTATGTTTCGGGTATTTCGTTACTCGCAGCATTTAAAATTATTGCAGAGTGGATTAGTTTATGGAAAACACTCAACAGAGAGAGATACTACTTTGTGGGAGAACATTCACAACTCTTTAAGGACCCACTTCGAATTCAATCTTAGCTTAACTTTAGAGATAGAATCCCTAATCCATAATCCATAATCCATAATCCGTACAACTATGATACGCATACATACACTTAGCCATCTATATACAACATTAACTTAGGTCTTAGGTCACTCCTTAAAATCTGACATAGCTAAAGTCATTCGGATTCGTATTCGTATTCGTATTCGTGGCCATCGGTTGGCCAGACCCACTTACCTCCTCGTCCATGGCCGTGGCATACATGTGTGGCGTCACATTCTTCTCCAGGCTGAAGTGATCCTCGGGGGTCTTATGGTAGACAGGATTCTCAAAGTTCATGGAGTTCACGGCACGCGTGCAACGTCTGTACGTGAATAGGAGTAGCTGGAGAAGGAAAAGACCATGAGATATAGGGGTTTCTTTTGCTATACTATTCCCAATCTACACTTACCCAAGCCACCACAGTGGTGCCCAAAAGACAGCCTACCACTATCCAGGCTATTCGGCCATTATCCTGCTCTGCTGGCACATCGATCTTGTGAATTGTGTGTGTGGAACTGCTGTCATTGGTTTTCTTTTCAACTGTAGGGAAATATTAGGGGTTAGCCATTGTTTATTGTAGAGTAAAGGTTTATCCCACACAAATTATAAAAACGATAGACGTGACATATAGTTAGAAATATATGGCTATAAAATAATAATTCCAAAAATTAAAAGCTAATTTCCAAATCCAAAGTCAGTCTTAAATGGAATTAATAAATGAATATATACAAATCTGCCAGTAGAGTTATATTCAGCTTTTTCTCATAATTTCTGTGACCGAATATAATTACAATTTTGTCTGGCGGCTAGAGCCCTGACAAAAAGCGAAGCAAAGCAAAGCCGTCGACGACTACATCCCGTTGCGAATGTTTCCGCTTTCTGGTGGCTTTCTCTGGTTGTACTCGACTGTCTTTTATTTGGTGCCTTTTTCTGTTCTGCTTTCTGTTTCTGTTGTGGTGGCAGGAAGTTGTAGGATTTTTCCGCTGTCAACATAATTCGTTTTCATATTTTCCGTTTAGAATTTGTTCAACGGCAGGCAAACAAAAAAGTCGAAAGTTGAGCAGGAGGCGGGAGGCGGGAGTCGCAAGCGCGTTCGCCTGGCAAAGGATATGCCGCGCATTTAACGCGTCCTCAAGTGGCGTCATCTCCCCTGCCCATTCCCTTTCCCCTCTCCACCACTTCTTGTTGCTTATTCATTTTTGCTATACGAGTGTCCAGGAGAGGCGGCAGCAGATGAGCGTTTGTGGCCCATGTAGCAAGGAATTATCATTAAAAGTTGATAGCGGCAACAGCTGTGTGCCATCGATTGAGCGGGGGTGGCAGTTAGGGGGTTGATTTAAGGGGTGTTGGGGAGTAGGCGTTAGATAAGATGCTGCAAATTTATTTGAGCGGCATTAACAGACAGTCAAGTGGCATGGCGAACCGTTGAAAAGTTGCACACATTTATGTGGCATATTAATTGTGTGGGTGACCCGTGTGTGTGTGTGTGTAGCTGGGAGGAGCAGCTGCTCTTTTACGATTTGGAAAGATGTTCTGTCTTTCAATTTCAACGTAATTTCAATTGTTTTGAACCATCTTAAGCAGGAGTTTTGGAGTTTTGTTCCATTTCTTAAGGCCGATTTTACAACATGCATATTCACTTTAATTATTCCACAAAAACATTAAGCGAAAATTACGATTACGAGTGCGCTATAAACAAATTTCACGCATAAATTTCCCTAGCAATCTTTCAAAGTCTGAGAATAAATATTTCTCCCACACGAGTACTCATAGTATTTGCCTCTCATGGCATGCTTTATGCTTGCCTATAAATGCCATATATTATTGTGCTCTCCTAATCTATAGCAAATGCAATTTCCGTGCCCCACATTGTACTGCCCCATACACAACAGGGAGAGTTATGCCTCATCGCCCATTTGTATAATCCGGGCACATGTGCTTTTATATATTTATTTTAAAACTCCAACTCGGGATAACACACATGGCAGGCAGGTGCTTAGGTGCCTCTCCCCGCTCCCCTCTCCCCGCTCCCCGCTGCCCATTCCCCGCTCAACGGAAGTGCCATAAAACGAACGACAAAATGGCTGCGTGCCTCCATATTCTTTTCCCCAAAATGAAATAAAAACGCATAAAATATGTTCCGTCACCTGTTCGGAGTGCGGGGGGTTTCTTTTTCTGGTAAGAGATTAGATAGAACAAAAAAAGTTGCCAACTTTTGAGGGAAATAAAAAGCAGTCAAAAATTGTGTGGCATGCAAATAAACAAAATGGCGGCTTTGCTGCCATGTTTTCTAATTTTCTCTCCCTCGACGCTCCTCTCACTCTCAAGGCAATATGCAGTAAAGTTCGAGGCGGAGGACAATAACAATTGCCAGAGTGACCAAAGTGCAGGCAAATGAAAGTCATAAAATGTTGCACGATGGGCCAAGCAGGCACTAGGAGCAGTGGCAGCAGCTGTTGGGGCTTTGGCGCCCCCATTTTAGGTGGTATTCTCTGCTATTAAAAACGCAGTCGTTACATCGACGGCTCAGAGTTTATGTTCTCCGGGCACAACTGTGTCCTGCCTCCCATTCTTCCACTCTCCCACTATCTGCGTGTCCATTTGTCTGTCTGTCTGCCTGTCTCTGGGGTATTTGCGAAACTTTGCCTGCGCTTAATTAAGCAATTTGAAGTGGCCAAAGATGGCCATAGAAAAGTAGCACAAACCGCTAATTGAAATTGCAGTTATGGTGGATGGGCGTCGTCATCATCATTGACAGGGCAGGGCAGGGCATGGCACAGCATGGCACGGCCCCGGCTCGGACTCGGGCTCGGACTCGGGCTTGGACTGGCCTTCGTCTGGCTTGGCTGGGTCATCTAATTGAAATAGTCCTTAACTAGTTTATAGTTATTTACTTGCCAGCGCTTCTGCGAACTTTATTTTGCCTTCTTCTTCTGGCCCTCTAGTTCATTTTTTCCTTCTTTTACTTGGCTTAAGCCCTCCCATTGGCGTCATTCTTCTCCTGGCAAAATGTGTTGCCAAGTCCGCCCGAGCTGATTAGCGTTTCCGCTGCCGCTTGACTCGCTCGCCGATTCCACCACTACGACTTTTTTAAATTGATGTAATTAGGCCCGATTGTGTGGGTTCTGCGCTAAGCCTTTGCTGGCAACATTATTTGGCCCAGTGAGGGGTTCTTTTTTTATTTTGATGACCTTTCAGAGGGATTTCTTTTTTTTTTTCTGAGAAATTTTCAATGCAAGGAAGGAAGCTTTTTAAGCCGTATATAATCTGAAATATATGTGGAATACGTAAAAGGCAAAAGGATTTGTTCGGTCGAGTATGTTGCTGAAATTTAGCACAGAATTTTTGCCAAAGAAAAATGGTTCAATCAGCATGATAAAGAATGATTATTGAGACCTATTTCTTCTTCTAAAAGACCACTCTAGACACCTTTTCGCTTAAAAATGATAAAAATAGACTCCTTTTTGGGGATGGGCAGAACAGCGAGATGAGGCTTCCGAAAGAGCCACTTGGAAAGGTTGTAGCTATTAAGGAGAGCATAAAGTAGGGGTTATCGTGGACGGACACATCTGTGGGATGTTCATTTGTTTTAAAGTTTTAAGCTTCGCGACTGAGAGAATTAATCTTACTTTAAGTCCTATTTCCCAGGTTCTTCGAGTATGTTAGGGAAATATTTTTTTGGATATCTCTCTGTCTTTGTTGACTGTGTTGTTGTTGAAACTATTCATAAAATAGAGGTAGCAGATTCTTACTCTTTTTCTCTCATACTCTCTATAAAAACCCATCTTTACTGCTGAGCCGCCCTGGGGGATAGTTAGGTGCTTCCTTATGTGCTTATAAATATGTTTCCACCTTTCAATAAACCTTCTGCAAGTCTACTCCGATTTCAATTTAAAAAATCAAACAATTTTTGTCACCAGCATCATTAAAACAGTTTTTTAAACTCTTTCTTTAATCAAAAACCATATTTTTTTTGTACTACATCAAACACCAAAGAAAATTCCAGTAGACCCTACACTCCCTTTATTAGCCATATTTATTTTTCCCTTAAAATAGCAAGTACAATGCCAGCCAAATATCTTCTCTCATGCCACTTTTATTCATGGCTCTGATTCTGATTGACGAGGCTGCCTCCATTTTTGCCGTACAATTGATCAAAGTGTGTCGTCGATTGCGCCGGGAGGCAGACGAAATTTGGGTTTATTAAAAATAATGATATGGCATTTAGAGGCGGCACACAAAACTCTCTAATTTGAATCAATTGGAACGGCAACAAGCGAAACAAGATATGGATGCGGGACTAAACAGAACTGGACTAGGGACATGGGAAACGGAACACGGAACACGGAACGCAGAACGCAGCGACGGGACAAAGTACACTCTCACACAGAGAGAGAGGGTTTTGGGTTGGTGCAGATATTTTTAGGGATAAACCGCAGGCTGATGGGCGTAATTCATTTTGCTACACAGCCAACGCAAATATTTCTTCGCAAGCGTCGACAGTTGGAGGTGTTGACAGTGCCAATTTGGTCGGGATCCTGATGATGCTGATGGGGATGGTGATGATGATGATACCCCACGATGATGGCGTTGGCCAAATGGTGATGACGATGTGGATGACGAATTTCTGGTTAAACTATTTGCCATGCTCCATATGGCAGTGAGTGTGATGGTGTTTTTGGTGTATCTGTTCGTGTTGCTTATGTACAATTTAATTTCATGGCGATTTGTTGACGACTCTCCTCCCGCCTGTCGTTGGATATGTCTGTCCGTTGAGCTCGTCACCGCTCCCTGTGCGGTTGTCAGTCGTTCATCATTCCTATCCGCATCCGCATCAGAATCAGCATCAGCACCAGGGCTGCCAGCACCGCCATCGTCATTGCTATCGCCATTGTTGTTGTCATTCTGACTGAGCAGCTCGCAAATTGCACGGAGAAATGGTGAAATTCGTACGGGTCCGGGTTCAGGTCATAGGGCACCCGCTTATGCTCGCGAGAGCAGCATTTCCATCGGGGGATCGATGTTGTAGCTGTCGTTGTTGTATTTGTTGTTGTTGTTGCCATTAAACATGTCACCAATGCTTCCCTTTTGTGGTTTTTGCGCTGGGTGAACCCGATATTTATGTTTTACGTTGAACTCGTCGTCGTCCGCATTTTGCATGGATGTGTTTGAGTACGGATACGAGTACGGGCATGGGCACGGGTACGGGTACGGGTACGGGTACGAGTATGTGTGCATTTTGAGTGATTACGTCGATATCATTGATGTTGATTTATGATGATGATGATGGGGTATGGGTGTACGTGGCACTGTAGATGTGGCCGGTTATTCGAAAAATTGTGATAAAAGATGTGAGATGAAACTTAAAGACAGCCGGCGACTGATGAGTAAAGGTGAAAATGGCATTAACACATTGCCGTATGGACATAAAGCACGGATATAATCACACGAGAGACAAACACGAGTACAAAAAATCCAAAAACCCAACACCAGAAAGCAGTTAAATGAAGCACTGAAGAAATAGTGGGTATATGATGGGGATACCCATAGTTTCTTCAGCCCTTAAACCCAATATATTTAAGCCTAATCCTAAGCGGACCTCCACCAAAAGTTGTACTATAAGAAGTATCGCATACCAGGCACTACAGTGTGCGCATCTTGAGGTGCTTTCGTTGTGGAAAAAAAGGACCCATTTTTCGTCCTGCTGCGCACTGTGGGACGCACACTTTTGACACGCACTGTGGGCCAGAAATTGGGGTTAAAGTTAATTTCATATAAGCAAGATGGGAGAATAAAATTCAATGAATACGCTCTGCAGTTAAGGCCAGCAAAGGGCCACTTAATAGCCCTGAACGCAATAGCCGCAACCGCAACAAGGATGCGTTCTGTATCTGTCTGTCTCTTTCTGTATCTGTCTGTGTGCCTTGTATCTGTGTGCATCTGTGGTATTCACCAACTCAACCACAAAACGCAGCCATTGAGGCGGACGGACAATTGCAGGCGCATCAAATGTGATTACAAAATGCACTACACGCATTTCTCCCCGTCCTCCTCCACAGAACTGGAGAGGTCAAAGGGCAAAGAACAAAGCAAATGCTACTTACGATCTTCGACACACATTAGGCCATCCGACATCAGCCTGAGACCCGTGGGACAGGCGCAGGAGATGCGCGGACTGCGCTCGTTGATCCTTGGGGCGGGCAGGCACAGGTGGGAGCAGTGGCCATTCACGGACTGGCAGTGGTTGATGCCATCGGGCTGTCGATACGGATGGTACACATGGATCACCATGGGATTCTGGAGCTGTTCGAGAATTGTATGGAGAGTTAGGAAGAGAGCACCTTCAGGAGGGACAGAGATGTAGCCTACCATGTGAACCGCTGTGATGGGCTCCACGCCCTCGCCGGTGAACTTGTTTGCCTTGAAGACGGTCTGCTTGTCCCAGTCGGTCCAGTAGATGTAGTCCTCGAAGGTGGTGATGGAGAAGGGATGCCGCAGGTACTCGGTGGAGTAGAGGATCTGCCGCCGCTGGGAGCCGTCGTAGTTGGCCGACGAGATGACGTTCAGCTTGCCGTCCACCCAGTAGATGCGCTTGCGCACCAGGTCCAGGGTGATGCCGTTGGGCCACTTGACGTCGTAGCTGATGATGGTGGTGCGGTGGGAGCCGTCCATGCCGGCGCGCTCGATGCGCGGAGAGGCGCCCCAGTCGGACCAGTACATCCAGCCCTCGATGGGGTCGAGGGCGATGGAGCGCGGTATGTCCAGCGCGTCCTCGATGAGCACCTTGCCCATGTTGCCGTCGAAGTTGGTCAGCTCGATGGTGCACTTGTGCGTGTCCGTGTAGTACACGTGGTTGTAGATCCAGTCCACTGCCAGTCCGTCGGAGGTCACCGAAGACTGCTTCAGCACCACGGTCTTCTCGTTGCCCTCGTCGATGGGCGCCTTGTAGATGCTCTGCGTCGTCACATCGCTCCAGAAGATCATCCCCGTGCGGAACACAAAGTCCAGGGCCGTGGCCGACTTGGTGCTGTTCACGATCGACGTCATCTCCATGTGGTCCAGGGCGATCTTTCGGATATCGTGACGCCGCGCCAGCAGCAGAGAGGCGTGGCCCTCGCCAGCCTTGCAACGCGTGTGGTTGCGCGGGTCCCGCATGTATCCCGCCTCGCATTCGCACTTGAATCCTCCGATCTCGTTGATGCACAGCTGGGAGCAGGTGCCCGGGTTCTCGCACTCGTCGATGTCCACACAGGTCCTCTTATCCCCGGATAATTTGTATCCCTTTCGGCACTCGCACTTGTATCCCACCACCTGGTCAATGCATTGGTGCATGCAGCCCCCGTTCTTGGAGGCGCACTCATTCACGCCGCACTTGCCGGCCGGCTCGTCCTCGCCGTCGGGGCAGTCCTTCCGCTTGTTGCAGACCTTGTCCAGGGCTATGCACTGGCCTCCACCGCAGTTGAACTCGGTGGTGGCGTTGCACTCCCTGGGGGGTGTGGCCAGGCCGCAGTCCCTCTCGTCGCTGCCATCCGCGCAATCTTTCTCCCCATTGCAGTTGAGGTGTCCGGCGATGCAGCTGCGATCACCGCACTGGAACTGATCCGGCCTGCAGGTCACGTTCTGGCAGTTGGCCGGATCCTCGTCGTCGCCGCCGGGACAATCGATATCTCCGTCGCACACCCAAGTGCTGTGCAGGCAGGTGATGCGATCCTTGCACGAGAACTCGTGTGGTTGGCAGAAGCCTCTCAAGAGTCCTGGATCTATGCTGCAGTTTTGCTAAAAGAGAGGGAAAGCGAGAGGGGTGGTTGAGTCTCTGTGGCTGCCCAAGGGGAAAAATCTCCGGATGAAGGAAGTTAACTTTTACTACAAACTACAATAGTTTGCTTTTGCTGTTAAGTGCCAGCCAAATATTCAGGCTTCTAAGCTTGCCACACACCCACACACACACATGCAACACACATATGCATATACGTATATGTTTTTGTATATGTACATACATACATACATACATATATGTGAATATAGTGCACTCTCCCCTTTGGCCATTTTTAGCATTTCTGTTGCATATTTTTAGGAGCTGGAAGCAAACACTTTTCACATTTTCATACCCTTTCCATGCAGGGTATATACGATGGATGATGATGGTTAATATCAGGTGACTAATAGCTTTAATCTTTTGTGTAATTCCCTTACTAGTATAGTAGAGATTTTGATTTGAGTAGTTTTCAATCGAATGGAAAGGGATCTAGTATAATGTGCGAATAGCTGGTATATTTACACAAAAGTAGGGGCTTTACCAATATTTGTTTTATGTTATTATTTCTATAGAGTGGAGCAGCTGATTCTCGCTATATAATGCAAATATATGCACCTCTAATCTCTAATGTGGTAAAGGAAATCCCCCCGCCTCTTGCCCGTGAGGGTATACAACTTTCGGTCTACTGTCAATGGTTTTCTGTGATAGTTTGCGTTTCCCATTTTTTTCCTGTTGGGTGCCATGCAATTTTGGCGCTACACAACTGACAACAAAAGCTATGCGTCATACATATAAATGTTTATGGGAAGCAGTTGCCGTTGCCGACATCGTCGTCCTCGTCGTCGTCGTTGCCTATTTTGAATAATGCTCGCGTCCTGCATAATTTATGCTTCCTAGCTGGGGCCCATATAAATATATATTTATATTTATATTTATATGCGAGGGTTGTTTTACAGCCTTTCGCATGTGTGTGGGTTTGTTAATAATTTGGTCATATCAATTTTCATGGCCAGCTGTATGGGGAAACAGACTCTCGCCATAACTCACCTTCTCATCGCTGTGGTCCTTGCAGTCATAGTCTCCGTCGCAGACCCACCGCTTGCTGATGCAATCCCCGTTGTCGCAGGTGAATGCCTCCTCCTGGCACTTTCCCTTGGCGGGACAGTTGAGCTCGTCGGACCCGTCCACACAGTCGTGATCCCCGTCGCACTTCCAGCGGCTCTGGATGCAGTCGCCACTGGCGCAGGTGAACTCGTCCGAGCGGCATGTGGCATCTGCATGGAGTTCAGGGTGGGGCATTAGCAGAATATCTCAATGGGTTTTGGGGAGGATTTGCAGGCTGATTAGTGAATGGATGTGGGTATGCTCTACTAAATATGTACAATGGTAACATAAACCTTTTGAGGTTTAACAAAAACGCAACAGAAACCAACACCATTACGAAAATTGCCAGCAAACAAAGCATAAGAGGAAAAGGCGGGGGGCAGGACTTGTGGCAGGACTACAACATCTAAAACATTGCAATCTAAAGTGTTTCTTGAGTGTGTGTCTGCGTAAATATTTGTGCTTTATTGGTAGGATATACGAGTAGTAGGTAAGTGTGGAATTACACAACTTTCAGAGAAATACAAATGTGTGTCAACAGAGGATACATGTAATATAACGTAGCAGGGAAGGCAGATAGCAAACGATAGATAGATTTCACCAACACCAAAACAAAGAGTTGCAGCAAACAGAAACTTAGATATGATTGAAGGCTTACTGCACTGGGCCTCATCGCTGCCATCGTCGCAGTCCTTGTTTTGATCGCACATCCAGGAGAGCGGTATGCACACACCCTCGCCGGACTTGCACTGGAACTGCTCGGGCGAGCAGGTCTTTCTCGCTGTAAAAGAAATGTATACAACATATTTGAGTTAAGTGTGCAAATGTTCTGAAATTAAAGAAGGACATGGAGAAAACCTCCTTTAAGAGAGAATCTGTGGTGAGGCTGATGTTGATGCCTTCAAAATAGCCCACTAACTGCTTTCCTAATGGCAAAAAACAACCATCAAGATGGAACAAATGCTGCACTGAGAGAAATAACATGTTAATTTCAGTTTCCAGTAATTGGAATCCACGTAGACATCCGAAAGTATACACTCAAATGCTCGAGAGCCAGGTGCTCAAATAGCACTTCACAATTGTTCATTCTTGTTATAATAACGATCCAATGGCAGCTCTGTTTTCATTCCTTTTCCCCCAGTGTAAGTGCAGAAGACGCCTTAAAGTAGGCAGCCAAGTTTTGTCTTGTCATTAAGTTTATAAGCAGCTGCAAAGGCGGAGTCCCTTGGAACGTACTCCGATGGCAAGTAATAAACATAGTTGTCATGCCAGCACACACACAACCTCAGACACACGTAGAGAGGCACACAGAGGAGAGGAGCAGCGAGAGGGGGCGATGAGAAACCATTCTGGGCTAAACAGTTGGCATTTTATCTAGGCAGTAATTAAGACATTATCAGCCAACACTCCATAAAGTTAAAACGCACACATGCGTATGCATTAAAGCAATTATCGCAGACACCACCCCCTCCACACCCACAGAGCACACACGAGACACAAACACAGATACTCGTGCTCGTGCTCGTACTCGTACTCGTGGCTGAAACTTTCATTGAAGTTATTCCCAAGCCCAAGAGGAGCACGGACATTAAACAAAGCTGACAACACTCCCACACACAGACACACGCCCACACCCATGCAGATGCATAAAAACGCTTGTGTTTAACCCTTAATGCGTATTAGTATGCCAGTTCTTTCAGTGCCTTCCCTTTCGTACTTTCTTTCATTGCCGGATTCTTTGGGCCTTCTTTTTTTGGGCCTACCACCCGGCGCGTGAAATGAAGGTCTTTTGTCTCTGTATGTGTGTGTATTCTCTGTGTGGAAGAGAAAGTAGCTCTTGTGGCCATGTATGATTTTCCCTGATATGATTATGTACTTCCCGCTGTCTGTCTGTGCTCCTTTGTGCCTCTGTGTGCTCGTTGGAGCAATAAAATCTTACGACCGGGCCTCGCATATTTGAATATGCTTTTTGGCGTTTCATCTGCCTTTTGCTCTCCCGCTTTCTCTCTGTTTATATTCCTTCCAGGTCCTGTCTTCCTGTCTATTTGTTTACCGGCTACACGTGCACATCTATGCGGAAATTTCTGACATCGTTGCAAATAAATTAATTCATTATTGTTTTCTTCTCGGTATTTGTATGTACAGATATACTCGTATACCTTTTTTGGTTGCTTAGCATGTGCAACGTGTCGTATGCGTGATATGCCTTTAATTGGAATTTACTGTGACCAGTTTTTCGAATTTATTTGCTGTATTGCTGTATTGTACGCCAGCTGGAAACTTCCTGGAATGGTGGCACCCAGTGGCGAGAATATTCGAAAAATGCTGATAAGCTTTTTTTTTTAGAGATTCGTTTGCTATGTGATTGACACAAATGTATTGAGGCATACTTTTATTAATACAGATAATTGGATATCCAAGGAATTTTATGAATTTCAGTACTGAATTTTCATGATTTTCGGATTAACAGGGAAATTAACGGAATTAATGGTTTATCAGTTTTTAAATTTCATTTCTTTAATAATAGATTCATTAATGAATGAAGACAAAAATTTTCCGTAGGTGGCTCAGGCGCTATCTCTCTCTCTTACAGAGTAGTTTAGCATTAAAATGAGTTAAGAGTAATAGCGGGTATCTTATTGTCTAGACAATGAGCTTCGACTTGAAAATTCTCTCTGGTGTTATTTTTTATAATTTATTTATACGCTGGTATGTGGAAATCTCCCCTACTAACATTTTTTAGAATAAAAATTGTATTTCGCGATGCGAAAGTTTATTATTTCATTACACTTTTTACTCCTTTTTCTCGTTGGCTCCTTCGTATAAGGCAGAAATTTTCAATTATCCACTATCATTTTGCAGCCACAATTTATGGCTTCATTAAATTTTCCATTGCTTGGTGAGAGAAAAATTCGCCAGGGACTTCATTTTTTTTGTGTCCTTCTTGAGGCCAGAACGAGCACTTCGCTGAATGAAATGATGCCCCTCGTATGGCCATGTGGGACACTGCTTCAGCTTCAGCTTCAGCTTCAGCTATAGCTTTTGTAAGCCATGGCAAAATCAATTTGCTGTTGTGGGAGGGTCACTATGAATAGACCTGGGCAGGACCTTCGTTCTCCTGTGGGTCTCCACAGACCCACACATACTCACGCACACACACACATATTGACCCACAATTTTCGTATTGTGTTCAATAGCATTTTCTTGTTATCTGACGCTGGAGCGTATATAGTACTTGCAATTTGATTTTAATTTTATTTAAAATGCTTTTTAGAAATGTGGTACGGCTACTGCCCCGGACTAGCCCCCATTACCTTCTCGAAAGCCAATGAAGCTCAATGCTTTTGTGGCGCAGTTTGCGTTTTGTTTATTGTGTGGTGTTCCTCGAGCAGCGCCTGGCGTCATTGTTCGACTTGAAAGCCAAGTTTTCCCCGTAACGGCACACAAAGTTATGAAGAGCCAAAGTTGAGTGTTAAATGGAATTAAATAGGGGACCAAGGACCAAGGACCATTCCCGCTTTACAGTAAATAAACACTAGCAGAGGATATTCCTTTTTATGCGGACATTTGCAACGAAGAGAGGGAGCTATCCCATTCCTGATTACCATGTTTCTAGGAAAACTAATCCCCGATATTGGTCTAAGCTTTGCACTCTCCACTCTTGCTTTATCTGCAAGCGAAAGGAATGCTTTATATGTATTTATCAAAGGTTGTCAAGGGTATCTATCAATAGCAAGGGGTATCTTCCTTCTGTTTTTTGCCGTTTCATATGTGTGTGTGCTTTTGCTTTTCGCGGTGAACTTTTGGCCCGACCAAAAGCAACTTCAATTAAGATCCACGGAGGACGAAGAGGCGGTGGGGCGGTAAGGAGGTAGGGCGGAGGGTGTATGGATAAAAGCTGGAATGTCAACAAGGTTTGATGACAATTTTAAAGCGCATAAAGGTCGTAAAAACACATTCACCCCCACAGTCTCGGAGTACCGGAATGTTCGACCATGTGTATGTATGTATATATTTTTATGTATATCCTGTGATATATGTATTCTGCGCAGCTCAACTCCATATAAACCACAGGCTCAATTTGGTCGCTGTCCTCGCACTTTTGATTACCAGATTTTATTTCCATCAAGGATAACATCATAAAAATCGCATCATTTTTTTCAATTACAATCCTGAAACATAAAAACACTGCCGTTCTGGCACTCTGCAGTTCTGGATTTCCTTTCACATAGTTAGGCGAATGTGTCACAGACAATAAACCGCTAAACAAGTTACAGGAGTGGAGGGGAAATTTCATGGAAAAAAACTACATAGGGAAAGGCAAAAGGAAAAGGACAATGGGAGTCTCTCCCTAATGCATAAATACAGATTAGTTCCGCTGATGGTCACGTCGCGATATTGTCCGTCAGGAATGATGTTAATTTATGGCTCAGGCTCAGGCTCAGGCTCAGGCTCAGGCAAAGGACTAGAGTCCAGTCATAAAGTGAATCAGAGGATGGTTCATGCATTTAAATTTCGATTAAACGTCTCATTTTGTTTTCGTTTGGTTTAGTGATGGGCACGGCAATCCTCCAGTTAGTATGCAAATGTGAGTGATGGAGTGGTGGAGGCTTACTACAATCCTGTTCGTCGGACATGTCCCGACAATCGAAGTCGCCATCGCAGAGCCACCCGCGTGGTATACACTGCTCCATGTTCTTGCACATCACCTCATAGGGCTGGCACATACTGACTGCTCTCACACAACATTCAAAGGAAATAGTTGCATTAGCTCGGGCACCACTTGGGGGGAAAAGTTATCTTCATCTACGACTGGGGATAGTACTTACTGCAGAGGAGGGATAGCTCGTCGGAGCCATCGGTACAGTCAGCCTCGTGATCGCAGACCCATTTCTGTGGAATGCAATTGCCATTGCCACAGCGGAATTGGTCCGCGTTGCAAGTCGATTCTGCAATGAAAAACACGTATATTCAAAATCAATTTTCAATAGCTTCGCCAGATAACGGTAATGGTATATGTCCAATTTTTTATGCTTGAATAGTTAACTGTGCCAAAAATAAATGTGATTTCAGTTTCCTTTTTCATTTTTCCTCAGCTTTTCTCTTTGTTTTATGGTTTTAGTGGAAATAGTTTTTCCCTATATTTTATGGTTGTTTTGTTTTACGACTTTTCACCACCACAAAAATTTATTAAAAGGCTTTGCAATATTCCATTCTTTCCCATCCGGAAAGGAAAACAATTTGTTGCTGGCTGAGTGATTGAAATGCAATTAGGAGATACAAAAGAATTTTCTGAATCGAAGGTGTTGCAAAAACCATTCAAGGTGTCAGGACACATACTCGTACGAATAATTGCTGAAAATATTCAATGAAATGTAAGAAAATTCATTTTCAATTTGAGAATTCTTTAGCCCGGATTTTCCTTTGCACTTTTGCCCCCTTCGTGCAACGATGCATCTTTTGTGAGCCATACTAAAGTGCAGACAATTTAGCGCTTAATTCAAACGAATTCCTCTGAAAGACATTTGCATTTCATTCGTCGACGCTTTAAGAGACACAGTCACAGTCCCTTCATCTCCACAGGGGCAAAGTTTTCTCCAGACTCCAGACTGCGAGTCGTCCCCCCCCCCCCCCCATAAACTTGAGCGCAACTTTTGTGGCAGTTCCTTGTCCCCGCTCACCCCGCTCACCCCACCACCCTCCTCACGAAACACAAACTGTAACCCGAAAGCCAAAGCCAAAGAGTCCCAACCAAAGCCAAAGCCAAAACCAAACCCGAGGGAGGCAGACGGAGCCGCCGCAGTGCGAAAAATGCGCATCACGTTCGGCGTTCGGGGAGCTGGGAAATACCGAGATGGGGGAAAACGTTCCACAGTGTACTATTTACCTAGACAGCCAGCATTTAGCACAAAAAAAGGTATAAAATACGAACAAAAACCATAGTTTATATTGCGACCATGGGATACCCGTTATTCATTTTTGATTTTCAAAAGATAAAGTACACCAATATTGAGTGGGAAATATATGGGCATACGATAGATCTATAGAAGAGGCCTAGAAAAGCAGACAGAGACAGCTAACTTCTAAGAGAGATATAATATATCACTACTTATATCCTTCTTAAATAAGAGCAATCTATATTTCAGAATATGACAACCACACATATTAAGATTTAGATGTAGATTTAAGATACATTTTATTTCCTTTGATATCCCAGGCGTGGTCATATAAAATGTGGTAATTGAAGCTCTTAAGGTCTCCCAGTTGTAGGCGTTCATTAGAACTAGGGGTTTATATCGCGTGTAGCCGTAAACTTGGAAACCTTGATTTGATGTGTAGATTCATATATTATATTCTTAATTTACATCCAATCTGAGTTACATTCATTTTACCACTCTATGTGCCACATGTTGCATATTGTATTGTAAGACCTCAAGAGGTCGATGGAGAAGTATACGCTTCCGTCAGCCATCTTAAGCAATAAAATACACTCCTGCTGTCCCCCAGTATTGGGTATCAGAAGCGCTGATTCTGGTTTGGTCTGCTATTCTCTTGTTTTAATGGGTAACAATCAGCAGCAGCCAAAAGGAAATTAAAAAAATATTTATAAGCACATTTGCTGCTAACTTGCGGCTAACTTTGATTACATCTGAGAGACGTCGTTGTTTTACAGCAAACTCGTCGTATAATCTTCTCTGAAATTCCCCAGAAATATATGTATGTATTATTCGTGTTCATATCAGCAGAAGTTCAATGTCAGCTTCCGTTTCATATACAAGACCAGGGAATTATTTATTTATGACTTAATGGTCTGACACCAACAAAAATGAGGACACTTTGCGACCGGCTTACATAATGCATAAACAAACCGACTTCAGTGGCAATCTGTTCTGCGTTTCTATTACTTTTCTTTATGAAGCTCATAAATTTCGCTCATGAGACGCGTACTCGTATTTGTGCAACAATTTTCATATACTCAAATATATATAAATATGTAAAAATATATATTTTTTGTGCCTAAAAGCTCTTTTTGCAGCTGCTTTGCCTCGTGCCACCCAGAGGCAGAAGCAGGAGGCAGAGATGCAAACTTCATTATTTACAGTCTGCCGCGTCGCGACAACATTCGAGGTGGAAAACGGCAGCAGCAGCAGGAGGAGGAGGAGGAGGAGCATGAGCTCTAGAGAGTGGAGTGGTACGGACTTGGGGCAGACAGACGCTTGCGATTATGCAATTCATTTAAAGTGCTTTGTCGCCAGGGGGATCTGCACAGTAGTCTCCGGACACCTTTTGCCGGCAATAATGAACGGGTACCCCGTGCCCAAGCAGGTGCCAAAGGTGGATTGGATGTGTGTGTACGAGTTTATGCATTGCATTGCCTTGATTTGAGGGTTATCACTAAATGATTCGACTCCTGCCCCCAAGGCTGCCGACAGCAAAAGTGACAAAGTCATCTACCCCCCTCTCGCCTTGCCGCACACGAAGGGACTTGAGCAAATACAGGGTAAACTTTCCGGCAGAACCTCAAGAAAGTTTTCGGGGAACAATGCAATTCCCCGCTGTACTATCGAACCCCGCAACCCCACCGAATCCCCGGGGAGGTCGGGTTGGGAGCTCGTCCCTGAGCTCATTTACAGGCCAAAAGCTTAGTGCTAGAAAAAGTTGTCTTGTCTTCCTTCCAGAAGTGTCCAAGGGGAAGAATGGGTACGGGAAAGTTTTCTGCGGTCATTCATCGATTTGGCGCATTAAAACTTTTGTGATATTTGCCATTTTCCAATCTTCTATGGCACCCGGCCCCTCTAGGCCTTCCTTCTGGTGGAAATACACATTTTGTTCAATTAATGTTAACATTTGTATACATATCATAGTTCGTGGAGTTCGTGAAACCTCATGATAAGACCGATAAGATATCGAAACTCAGTGAAATAACCAAAGAACCCTCGAAGCTTAATTCTCTCGTAATAAAATTGTTAATATTTTGTAAATGGAATATTTCAAATATCCTCCAGCTAAGAGAAAGCAATATCAAGACGAAAATAAAAAGAAATGTCATGAAATATTGGGTTTCATTGATTTCTGACTTTCGGTGATTTCGGTGGGTTGCTCGGGAGGACGGACCTCTCCTAATGAAGTTTGTCTGTCTTTTTGGGCATAAATTGAATTGTCCGATTCACTTAAACGGGCGGAAGGAAATGGCACGGCAGAGGGAAAAGCGGCGGACACAGACACCCCCCATTGTTCTTCCTTATTCGGACCCTCATCTCAGACCCTCATCCTGTCCTGCTTTTTCCTGTGTCTCGTCTCAATAAATAAATGAAAAATTTGTGCCACGGTTAAGGGGATTTTCCTTTTTTCATTGTTTACAATTGTTTGCCCTCTTATATTTATTCTGTACTTGTTTTTTTTTGTGTTTCTTGTTTAGAGAAGTATCGTCTTCCGCACACAGCGGGTTGCACGAGTATCATACTCGTAAAAAAAGGCTCGCCGCTTGTTGTTTATGGCACCTTTTTCCACTTTATTGAAGCCGTACCGTCTCCACCAAGTTGTTGTTGTTGTTGTTGTTGTGTCCCAGTGCCTCCTTGAGGGAGTATTTCAATATAGAATCAGATGAGGGTTCTCTGCCTGAGGGTCTGCGGGGGTATGTGGAGTCTGGGGCTCTGCATCATAAATCATTTAAAGAGCAGTCCGGCGGCGGCTGAAGTGGAGCAGCGATTGAGGGTCCCTCTAATGAGGGACGAACTTTTAGGTTCCCTTTATTTTTTGCCTTTGGTATAGCAGCAATTGTTGCTGTCGTTTGCTGGAGAGTGCAGCAAATGGCCGCGAAAGTCTACCATTTGAATTGCATTTCAGATGGTTGCCAATTTATATGTTAAACAATCTTACGTGTATTTTGGGGTGGAAAGTGGAGCCATGAAATATTCGAAAAGTAATGCCCATTCCAGTGAAACACGACTAGGAGCAACTTCGATGGATTGCTGCGCTTAAAAATGTGAGGGATACATAATTTATGGCTTACAGAGAAGGACAAGGACAAGGATAGTGGCACTGGCAGTGGCAGTGGCAGTGGCATGGATGTGTGACTGAAGTTATCTAAGGTCTGCCAGTCGACGTGGCTCACACGAGCCCCAAAAATATACTATGTGTTGCTGTAACTACGAGTATATATGTAGAACTCTGAGCTGAGCTCTTCTTTCGTTTTCTTTTTTAGATTTTGCACACACATTCTGTGCGGCAGGCTTATCAGCTGTCTGCTGCTCGCTCCCCACGAATGTGCTGCATGAATATTTATGCGTTCGATATCGAACACTAGCATACACCATAAAGCCAATATATGTATATGTCGTATGAACGTATATAAGTACGATTTATATGTAGAAATGTGTATCCACACATGGGGCAAAAGCTGCTTAAAAGTCTGACAGCGTCTCTGGCGCTGTCCCTGTTACTGTCCCGATTCCTGTTCCTGCCGCCGCGCCCCTGTCTTTTGTCTCTTGGTTGTTTACGCGGCGTATGCGCATCGCGGCGTGGATGGAGGACACTTAACGTGGCTCTATGGCTGATCTGCCGCTGCCTTTCTGTATTGCTCTTAGCCCTGGTCTGTTGTTAATGGCTCTCCTTCGTTTAGTTGCCTATAAGTTATTTATTTATTTACTGACTTTTTCGCTCTCTTGGCCATCGATGGGACATTATTTTGCTTTTTTGTCAAAGACTTGAATTGAATTTCCACCCATATCCATATCGTTATACATATATATTTAGTCTCCCGACCACGCCCATACATAGGGAGCAGACAATAACAGTAAATTGAAATACACTTGAAGCGGTTAATGGTCTGGGATTTTTCGTCTTATCTTCAGAGTTCCTCAGGAAATGAGCCTCTCTCCTCTTGTACTCGCACTACTGCTCGTTTCATACAGAAGCCAGATAAACATTTGGTGTTTGAGACGTCAAC